GCCGGAGATGCCCCCAGAGGAGGGGCTGCAAAGCCAGCCCAGGGAGCTGTGAGGAGGAAAGAGCCGTCCTGTGCCGGGAAGGCGGCCGGAGCTTGAGCCGGAGCTCCGAGCTGGTGGTCCCTGAGCAGCCTCCCAGCAGGGAGAAGCCCTTCAGGTGCTTGGAATGTGGGAAGAGCTTCAGGAAGAGCTGGAACCTCCTCACTCACCAGCACATCCACACTGGGGAACGGCCCTACACGTGTAGGGAATGTGGGAAGAGCTTCAGGGACAGCTCCACCCTGATCAAACACCAGCGCATCCACACTGGGGAACAGCCCTACATGTGTGGGGAATGTGGGAAGAGCTTCAGGGACAGCTCCAACCTCCGCAAGCACCAGCGCATCCACACTGGGGAACGGCCCTACACATGTAGGGAATGTGGGAAGAGCTTCAGGCAGAGCTCCAACCTGATCCAACACAAGCGTACCCACACTGAGGAAAGACCCTTCAAGTGTGGGGAGTGTGGGAAGAGCTTCAGTGTCAGGTCCAGCCTCCGCAACCACAAGCTCATCCACACTGGGGAACAGCCGTACAAGTGCTTGCAATGTGGGAAGAGGTTTCAGAGCAGCTCAACTCTCCTCAGGCACGAGCGGATTCACACAGATGAGAGGCCCTTCCGCTGCACCGACTGCGGGAAGGGCTTCAAACACAACTCCACCCTCGTCACCCACCGGCGCATCCACACTGGGGAGAGGCCCTACAAGTGTGAGGAGTGTGGGAAGAGCTTCAAGGACAGCTCCAACTTGACCAAACACCAACGGACCCACCAGTAAGGGAAGGCCCGACGAATGCCCCGACTGCGGGAAGAGCTTCGGCCGCTGCTCCCACCCCGAATGACCCCCCTGATGGTGAGGCAACCCCTGGAGTCCAGGGACTGTCAGTCCATCCCTTTCTACCAGGAAGGGACAGTCCCCTTTGCCAGGGGCAGGTTGTGCCAACAGAACCCTTCTTGGGGGGTGTGTGGAGATTCCTGCCTTGGCTGGGACCCCCCAAGGTCAGTGCTGGAGGTTGAGAGCAGAGATCTCCCCCTGAGCGTTGGTCTGGGGGAGTTCCATCCATCTCTAATTCATAATTCTTGCTTTGGTGCCAACTTGAGTAGAATTGCTTCAACAATTGCTTTAGTGTAGAGCACTGTCCTATCTTATGCTGTCCTACTGGTAGTTTTAGTGTTTGTATTGTGCACTAAATAATTCTGATGAAGGTGTTTTGTCTGATTATTTGTAACCCTAAATAATTGATTTCTATCACTAGATGTGATTTGCCGTCCTTAAAACCTGGGGGACAAAAGTGATTCAGCCCCACCTCTGTAATTCCTCTAAACTGAATGTTTTGGCATAACCCAAGGCTGAGATTGGATCCAGCAGCCCCAGCACCCCACAGTCAGTTGGGAGCTCAGGGGGCCATCCCCCCTTTTTTAAATGCTTCC